AATCAAGATCATAAATAGCTACACCAGCCCTAGACAGCTCTCCCCAGCGGGGGATCTCAGCGGCCTCCGGAAACTGCTGACGCCAGGCGTCGGTCAGGCGGCCAAAGCAGCGACGGGCTGTGTGGGCGCCTCCACACCTCTCCCCTGCACGGTCACCAGTGCGAAGAACGTAGGGGCAGGGACCAAGCGCACCACCGCGCTGACGCTGCAAGTACCACTCACGGAGCTGCTGAGGGCCGGGGACGGTGCGAGAGCGCTGCTGCTGCTGCGGCTGCTGCTGTGGCTGCTGCTGCTGCTGCTGCTGGCGCTGACCACCCCCAGAGCTGCTCCGCTGGGACGAGCCACTCCGACCCCCTCCTCCACCGCCACCCCCGCCTCCACCGCTACCCCCGTCGCCACCGCCACCTCCCCCACCAGGACCGTCGCTCCCACCGCTCCCACCGCCTCCTCCGCTACCACCTCCGCCGCCACCTCCGCCTCCACCGCCGCCACTACTACCTCCACTCCCGCCACCACCCCCTCCGCCACCCCCACTCCCCCCTCCACCCCCACCGCCTCCTCCACCGCCCCCTCTGGCTCCACCCGCTCCCTTGCCCCCCTTGCCCTTGCCAGTGCGGCGTCTGCCACTGGGGGCAGACGCCGCGCCGACCGACTCAAAACCAACGAGGTCGGCCGCAGCGGCAGAGGCGACAGAGGGCAGCAGGGGGGAGGGACCACACCCCTCAAAGATGGGGGTGCGAGGGTCACCCCGAGAGGCCCCTACAGCGACAATACTCTTCTCAGCCGCTAGCAGGGACTCCTCAAGGAGGTCGACAGTGAGAGTGGTGGGACAGACAGAGAGAAACTGGTCCCTAACGACACGAAGGGACTCAGGAAGACGGGTGACGAGAAAGTAGAGAGTGATGTACATGGGAGGAGGGTTCGCAGCGCGGAACTCAGCAGGAAGGGCAGCGCGGTAGCGGGTGTCACTAGCGCGGAGGTGGGTAACGAGGTCAGCGACAGTGGGAAAGGAAGCGAGGTCAGGGAAGAGAAACGGTAGCATGAGGCGGCTAAGGGTAGCGGAGGAAGGGGAGGAGTAGCGCGCAACTACAGCGTCGTACAAGGCCTGAGCGGTCTTGCACTGACTAAAGTGGGCACGCTCAGAGGAAGGGAGGTGGCGACGCACAGCAAGACGTGCAGCAGCATCGCGGGTCGCCCACTTGGAGCGAACGGCAGAGTCAGCATCAGCAGGCGGGGCAGGGACAGCGCCAGAGACAAAGTCAAAGAGAGAGACCTCATCTACCGCATCACACAGTAAGTACAGCTGCAGATCCTCGACCCAGACGGCAAAGTCAATGGCCCTCCCCTCAGCGTCAAAAGTGAGAACATTGGGGGTAGCCATAGCAGCAGCTGAAAGTCTCACCGGGATGGGAGAGTCGGGTAGGTCAGCAGCAGGCGGCTCGGGCTGCTCAGGTACCGGGCGGCTCGGCTACTGCGGGGCGGCTCGGCTACTGCGGGGCGGCTCGGCTGCTGCTGGGCGGCTCGGCTGCTGCTGGGCAGCTCGGCTGCTGCTGGGCGGCTCGGCTGCTGCTGGGCGGCTCGGCTGCTGCTGGGCGGCTCGGCTGCTGCTGGGCGGCTCGGATGCTGCTGGGCGGCTCGGCTGCTGCTGGGCGGCTCGGCTGCAGTGCAGTGGCGGGGCCGGGACAAGGCCGGCGGTAGGGCCGGCGGTAGGGCCAAGTAGGAGCCGGCGGCGGGCCGAGTAGGAGGCCGGCGGCGGGGCCGAGTAGGAGCCGGCGGCGGGGCCGTGTAGGAGGCCGGCGGCGGGCCGAGTAGGAGGCCGGCGGCGGGCCGAGTAGGAGCCGGGGCCGGGCCGTGTAGGAGGCCGGCGGCGGGCCGTGTAGGAGGCCGGCGGCGGAGCCGAGTAGGAGCCGGCGGCGGGGCCGTGTAGGAGGCCGGCGGCGGGCCGAGTAGGAGGCCGGCGGCGGGCCGTGTAGGAGGCCGGCGGCGGGGCCGAGAAGGAGGCCGGCGCGGGGCCGCGTAAGGGGCCGAGTAGGAGCCGGCGGCCCGGGGCCGCGTAAGGGGCCGGCTCGGAGCCGCGTAAGGGGCCGGCGCGGGGCCGCGTAGGAGCCGGCGGCGCAGGGCCGCGTAAGGGGCCAGCGCGGGGCCGCGTAAGGGGCAGGCGGCGGGGCCGCAGGGGAGAGGGCGACCCGAAGGGTCGCTAAAACAAAAAAGGGCGCGCCTCGAGGCGCGCTTCGGTGGGCCCAAAAAAAATTCGGTCCTGGAGGGACCTAGCTCTGATACCATGTGAAACTATGAGCAGAGGAATGAATTGACTAAGTCAGAGTTGGGTACAAATACAACCCTAGCAAACTGTACCCCATATGTGCTACCCCACTATAGCCTACAAACATGCATCAGCTATAATAATCTGACAGTCTCTTCATATCCTCTGTACTCATCTATTTATATTCTTGTATTTCTTTGCTTTTATCAACTTACTTTTGCCCTCACATACTAGCGCAAGGTGGTTCAAGAGCTTTATTCAACGCTTCCGCTATTACAACATCTACTCAAACTTTAACTCTACAAAGATCCTAGGGCGTTTCAGCCCAACATGGTATCACGAGCAAGAGTTCCAATCCTTGGAACCTGTGATAATTTCTACAAATGGCCCACCACCTGAATCATCACCAGGAGCATCTTCAGGAGCAGGTTCGACCTACCACGTCTCACGGAGCATTACGTGGAGGAAATCTTCAACGCACCGTCGCATCATTTTGGGCGACTCAGCAAGACGAATTTCAAGGAGTTACAGCAAATTCCCTGGAAATGACTTCACAACTTCAACCCGGCAAGATTGCAGCTCTCCTCGTTTCTACACTTCTAACAGTGGAGGGGAGTGTTGAGAATATGTTTGTATGCTTTTATTATAAGTGCACTGTTCGAAGTGTGTTTACAGGGGCTCGCCATAGCGAGGGATTTGAACCTGGTGGCGAGTCAACGGGCCGCAATCGAACACAGCGGTTGCGACCCGCGTGGCAGCTCAAGAGTCGAATCGACAACAGGAGTCATCGTCTACAGTACGCGAAACTGACATGCGAGGCACGGCAGGATACCGCGCCCTTGCCGAAGCTGAAAAGTCTCGCCAGCGCAACTGTAACAAGGCAACCCAAGCGACGCAGCGCAACTGTTATACAGTTGCGCCTTGGTAACTGTTTGCCCTATGCATTTGCTATATAACAAAATGTAATGCCTTGCTCATATTACACAATTCTCAAGCTTGTGTCCGGCCTAACCTCGGCCGCTGCTTTGGCACCACGTTGCAAGCCAGGAGAGCTACCTCTGAGTGACCAATAGCCCCGCCGTAGGGACGTCGTTAATTCCTAGAGCTTCCGCTGCGCTCTAGCGACTTCTTATTTCCAACATTTTTGTGGGGGCGATGAAGTTCGAGGCCGAAACTCACATTCGCGCCTCAGGCAGTGATGCTAAAACGACCAGCAAAACATCCACATTGACTAATTAAAAAAACACTAACACTAAAATATGCCATATGTAAAGACCCGGGTATTATGTATTTTTTTCCTATGAGGAGACCCCCCCCCCCCCCCCTGTTGGAAACAATAAGTCCTAAGTGCGCTTCTGTCGTATCAAAATCCAAGGCACCAAGCGAAGCAGTCCCAATCGAAGCATCGAGTCAACCTCGGAAGTTGAGGGTAACCGCCTGGAGGTTACGAGAAAGTCAAAGGTCGCTGACCTTTGACTCGACAATTACAGCGCGACAGTTAAGGACACACAACTGACTCGTTACAGAGCAGTTGCCCGAGTCGCACTATATCGAACCGCAACAGCAATACAGTTATCTATCTATCTATTCGTATTCCCTGTACTCTTATATAAATCCTTGTATTTGCTTGTTTAATTTAATCTACTTTGCTCTCACACACCAGTGCAAGGTCGGTTCACAATCCTCATCAAAACGCTTCCGCTATTACAAGTTTCTACCCAAGAGTTCTCCTCTGCAAAGATCCTAAGGGCTATTTTTCAGCCCAACACCCCCCCCCCCCCCCCCCCCTATTTTTTCCCTGTATTTTTAGCTATACCCTAGGGTGTTATGTCCGGGAGAATACGGTATCTGTACTTATACTTAGATACTTTGTGTCCATTAAAACTAAACTATTGAATGTATATACCTACGTTCTGATTAAAAATATTAGTCATTTTCTGAAATTTAGAACTTGATGTTACTCATATATATTATCACTTTTAAGTTGCTCCGCAACCCTAAGACGATTTCGTCGCCTCTTGTTTTTTTTGGCTCCAGATCACCGTACCTAGAAACGAACGCACTGTGAGCCGGGTCCACCTCAGCGCGCGGACACATATCCCCCACACAAGCTTCAACAGTGCCAGGTCCGCGTGGAAACCTAGGTAACCGGTTCCCTCGAGAAGAATAGGTCTGGCATTTTCGCACATGCGAGTTGCCATGCAATGTGGTTTGCCAAATCGGAGGTGGTTTCGGCGAGTGTCGTGCTGTACTGGCGAAAGTGTGCGAGCCATTAGAGCGGTCACCTCTGTCGTGGGCAGGACGCGGTGCTGTACCCTAGTTGGCGCGCACGCTGCATGTAGTAACGTGAGTCACACGACTCGAGGTACGTGCAGCTGGCGTGCCGTCTCGTGAACAAAATCTGGTCGTGTCCGCCCTTTTTGTGTGACTTGAGGGATTGAAGAACTGTAAATGTAGGAGCTGGACACCCCCTCATCCAAAACTTGACGCTCCAACAGGCGGAAGCTGGCGCACTGGTAGCCAGTCAGTCGTCGTGACTCACAAACTTCCGCGCTTCTCCAGGCTCGCTTGTTCTGCTTCGCGCACAGGCTGCTGCAGGGACGCGCAGAAAAGAGCTGCAGTAGACCGAGAGAGCAGTGTGCGTGCGAGCAGTCAGCCGTTCGGAGCCGGCTGTGTCCAGCGCGCATCCGCATCCTTCCCCACACGAGCCCCCGAGTAGAGGATCCCGCCGCCCGCCATGGAGGCAGCGCTGGGCTGTCGCGTCCGTCCGCGCGACGCGGTCGGGTCTGCGGCGCCACTGGCGGCGCGTCGTTGTCCCTCGGGCCGGTCTGCTCGCGCCGCGTCCAGTCCAGATTCCCTTGCGCCGCGTCCCCTCCTCCTCCGCGCGGCGCTGCATCCGCTGCAGCCGCGTCGCCACCAACTCGGCGCGAGCAGATTGCGCCTGCCGCAGCTCGGCTTGCGCCCGCCCGTGTCCGCCCGCCGCCCCCATCGCCCGCCGTCCCGCGTCGCCAGGGCGGCGCTCGTGGCGGAGTCGGCGTCCAGCGAAAGCAGAGATAATGTGACTGTAACGGGCGATGCAGAGGCGCAGCTGAGAGCGGCGTCAGCGGCGGAGGGGAGGGCGGAGGAGGGCGGGACGGTGGAGTGGAGCCGCGCGTGGTACGCCGTGGGCGTGACGGCTGACATGGACGCGACTCGCCCGCACGCCATCACAGTCGTGGGCCGCCCGCTCGTGCTCTGGCGCGACGCCGCGGGGTCGTGGCGCTGCTTCCTCGACCAGTGCCCCCACCGCCTCGTGGCGCTCTCCGAGGTAAACCCTGCCCGCGCCTCCCACTGACCTGTTCCCACCGCACCTGTTCCCACCGCGCCTGTTCCCACCGCGCCTGTTCCCACCGTGCCTGTTCCCACCGCACCTGTTCCCACCGCACCTGTTCCCACCGCACCTGTTCCCACCGCACCTGTTCCTAGCCCACCTGTTCCCATCACACCTGTTCCCACCGCACCTGTTCCCACCGCACCTGTTCCCACCGCACCTGTTCCCACCCCACCTGTTCCCATCACACCTGTTCCCATCACACCTGTTCCCATCATACCCCATCGCACCTGTTCCCATCGCACCTGTTCCCATCGCACCTGTTCCCATCACACCTGTTCCCACCGTACCTGTGCCCACCGCGTCTGTTCCCACCGCACCTGTTCCCACCGCACCTGTTCCCATCACACCTGTTCCCACCGCACCTGTTCCCACCGCACCTGTTCCCACCGCGCCTGTTCCCATCACACCTGTTCCCACCGCACCTGTTCCCACCGCACCTGTTCCCACCGCACCTGTTCCCACCGCACCTGTTCCCACCGCACCTGTTCCCACCGCACCTGTTCCCACCGCACCTGTTCCCATCGCACCTGTTCCCATCACACCTGTTCCCATCACACCTGTTCCCATCATACCCCATCGCACCTGTTCCCATCGCACCTGTTCCCATCGCACCTGTTCCCACCACAACTGTTCCCATCACACCTGTTCCCACCGTACCTGTTCCCACCGCGTCTGTTCCCACCGCACCTGTTCCCACCGCACCTGTTCCCATCACACCTGTTCCCACCGCACCTGTTCCCACCGCACCTGTTCCCACCGCGCCTGTTCCCATCACACCTGTTCCCGCTGCACCTGTTCCCACCGCACCTGTTCCCACCGCACCTGTTCCCACCGCGCCTGTTCCCATCACACCTGTTCCCACCGCACCTGTTCCCACCGCACCTGTTCCCACCGCACCTGTTCCCACCGCACCTGTTACCACCGCACCTGTTCCCTCCGCACCTATTCCCATCGCACCTGTTCCCACCGCACCTGTTCCCATCGCACCTGTTCCCATCACACCTGTTCCCACCGCACCTGTTCCCACCGCACCTTTTCCCACCGCACCTGTTCCCACCACAACTGTTCCCATCGCACCCACCTCAATCTTATCACTTTCCCAACCCCCCCCCCCCCCCCCCCCCCCCCCCCCCCCCCCCCTCCCTCCACCTGCCCAACGGCCACAGGGGTGCATGGACTCATCAGGGCGGCTGGCGTGTTCGTACCACGGGTGGGCGTACTCCGCTACCCGCTGGGTCAAAATGGAGGTGTTATAGGCGCAGCGGATGCCCATTGCATGTATTCCTTCCCATCACCTGTTCCCGGCTCACCCACCTCCTCTCACCCCGCCCCCTCCCATCGGCACGGCCACAGGGCCGCATAGACGCGGAGGGGCGGCTGGCGTGTTCGTACCACGGGTGGGCGTTCGCAGGCAGCGGCGCGTGCGAGCTCATCCCCCAGGCCGCCCCGGAGCACCCCGGCCAGCCCCCCCGCGCCGTGTGCTCCCCGCGCGCATGTGCCACTGCCTTCCCTGTGAGGGAGTTCCACGTGAGTGCCGCACATGACACGGGCTACATTCACAATGGGAAGCTTATCATCCGTGGGTCGCAGGTCATGAAAGGCAGGTCGCAATAACCCACTGTGCCTAGCTAACAGTGAGAGCTGGAGCCTGAAGGCATCATGCTGGGGTAGTCCGAGCAAGGAGAAGGGCATGAGAGTGGTGTGATGGCAAGGAGAAGGGCATGAGAGTGGTGTGATGGCAAGGTGAAGGGCATGAGAGTGGTGTGATGGCAAGGTGAAGGGCATGAGAGTGGTGTGATGGCAAGGTGAAGGGCATGAGAGTGGTGTGATGGCAAGGTGAAGGGCATGAGAGTGGTGTGATGGCAAGGTGAAGGGCATGAGAGTGGTGTGATGGCAAGGTGAAGGGCATGAGAGTGGTGTGATGGCAAGGTGAAGGGCATGAGAGTGGTGTGATGGCAAGGTGAAGGGCATGAGAGTGGTGTGATGGCAAGGTGAAGGGCATGAGAGTGGTGTGATGGCAAGGTGAAGGGCATGAGAGTGGTGTGATGGCAAGGTGAAGGGCGTGAGAGTGGTGTGATGGCAAGGTGAAGGGCATGAGAGTGGTGTGATGGCAAGGTGAAGGGCATGAGAGTGGTGTGATGGCAAGGTGAAGGGCATGAGAGTGGTGTGATGGCAAGGTGAAGGGCAAAGCAGGCGGGTGCTCGGCTTGCCTGTGCGTAACCGCAGAGCAAGTGGGTTAGGGGCGAGGGGAGGAGGGGCAGTGGTGAGAGACAACTGTCCACAGGGGCGCATCGGCTCGTCCGTCGCTTCTCAACAGTCCACACAGCCAATCGCCCCCACTCACCCCGCTGCGCGCCCGTTACTCCCCCTCCCTCCCCCTCCCTTCCCCCCACTCCCCCCCGCCCGGCCACCTCCCAGGGGATGCTGTTCGTGTGGCCAAACGAGCACTCGGCACAGCAGGCGGAGGCGACGCCGCTGCCGCTGCCGCACGGGGTGGAGTGGGAGGAGTACGAGGTGCTGCCGCACTACACGCGGCGCCTGGCGTACGGCTACGAGGTTCTGGTGGAGAACGTGGTGGACCTCTCCCACTTCCCCTTCGCCCACCACGGCGTCGGCATGACCACCCGCGACAAGGGCGGCCCTATCAGCAACATCGGCATGACACAATCGGTGCGGCGTGGCGGTGGGCAGGGAGGTTGCTGTGTGATGGGGGGATGTCGTTTGCACACTCAAGAGAGGCTTGCACATGCAGTGAGGCATGCACATGCAGAGAGGCGTGCACATGTAGAGAGGCGTGCACATGCAGTGATGCGTACACACTCACATGCACTTGAGCTGCACACACGTAGACATACGTATACAAGATTTGCACTTCACTGTTTGTGCTTGTGCTCGCCCTGCCTGCACTGCCCTCACCTGCCTGCACTGCTCTCACCTGCCTGCACTGCTCTCACCTGCCTGCACTGCCCTCACCTGCCGTCTACTGCCTCTGCACTGCCCGCCATCAGGGCGTGAAGGGCTTTGAGGGGCCCATCGACGTGTTTGGCTTCCCCACCTACCTCCGCTTCCAGGCTCCCCAACTGGTCTTCTACCACAGCACCGTAAGGTACCGCACAACACAACAAAACCATGACGTGCCGCCCCCACCACAACACCATGACATCCACCTTTTTCACCCTACCCCCCATCCCCACATCTCTCCTCCCCGTCCACCCCCGCTTTTATCCCACCGTCACTTTCCACCTCCCCTTCTACTCCTCGCTTTCCCCATTCCACCCTCCTCCCACTCCCTTCCCCCCTCTCCTGCCAGCCCGCCGCCCCCCAAGTTCTCCTTCCTGCAGAGGAAGGCCGGGGCAGCAGCGGCGAACACGAGCTTGGTGCTGCTGCTGTGCATAACGCCCAGCGCACCGGACAGCAGCATCGTCGTGCAGGTGAACCTGGTCTGCTTTTGAGTCGACTCACTCAAAAGCCATCTCCCCCCTCCCTTCTCCCCTTCCCCCCCAGCCCGCCGCCCCCCAAGTTCCCCTTCCTGCAGAGGAAGGCAGGGGCAAACACGAGCTTGGTGCTGCTGCTGTACATCACGCCCAGCGCGCCGGGCAGCAGCATCGTCGTGCAGGTGAACCTGGTCAGGCCCGGCGACGGCAAGAAGCTGCCCTCCGTGCCGCGCTGGCTGCGGCACATCGGCCTGCACCAGATATACGACGGTGAGTGCTGCACCTCCGCTTGCACCAGGTGACGGAATCAGTGATCACAGATGAGAGCCTTATGATTGTGGTGTTCTTTCCGGTTCTTGCCGCATCACGGCGGTGCCATGTGTGTCCCACGCCATGCCCACCAGGCGATTCCTACTTCCTGCACTGCCAGGAGCGAGTGCTGCAGGAGAGGGAGCAGCAGATGGAGGAGGCTCGGGCGAGCAAGGGCGAGGCACGGCAGGGGGGAGGTGCGGCGGAGGGTGGGCGAAGTGAAGCGGGGGGCGCAGGGGTTGTGAGGGGGAGCGCGTGGAGGGCGTTTTACATGCCCACCAACGCTGACCTCCCTGTGGTGGCCTTCCGGCAATGGCTCTCCAAATATGCAGGTGTGTCTCATATTCGAGTGGTTGCTCCATGAGAGGAGCCAGGTGGTTGTGTAGTAACTAGGATCCTTTTCAGGTATTTCTTGCCAGCTGTGCTTGCTTGGAGACAGTATGTGGCTGTGCTTTCTGATGTCATGGATGTCGATTCGGTGAAACGAGTATAGCCAATTGCTTTCGTTCACCAACGAGAGCGCAAGGCTAGCGAGGCTGAGAATGACCAACCAACACACCAGAGCTTTCTTGAGGGCCAACTAGCTCACTTGGCTAGCTTTATATTTCAAACTACAACTTTTTTTCTCTCTCTCTCGTGCCATCCCTCCTTGTCACGCCGTGTGCCATCCCCGCCTTGCTGTGTGCCATCCCGCCTTGCTGTGTGCCATCCCGCCTTGCTGTGTGCCATCCCGCCTTGCTGTGTGCCATCCCGCCTTGCTGTGTGCCATCCCGCCTTGCTGTGTGCCATCCCGCCTTGCTGTGTGCCATCCCGCCTTGCTGTGTGCCATCCCGCCTTGCTGTGTGCCATCCCGCCTTGTTGTGCCGTCTGCCATCCCGTCTTGCCTCACCTGTTAGTGCTTCTGTCCACCATCAACCTGACCTGTGCATGTCATTCATCTGTCCACAACCTCCTTCCCCCTGTCCACAACCTACTCCCCCCTGTCCACAACCTCCTTCCCCCTGTCCACAACCTCCTCCCCCCTGTCCACAACCTCCTTCCCCCTGTCCACAACCTCCTTCCCCCTGTCCACAACCTCCTCCCCCCTGTCCACAACCTCCTTCCCCCTGTCCACAACCTCCTTCCCCCTGTCCACAACCTACTCCCCCCTGTCCACAACCTCCTTCCCCCTGTCCACAACCTCCTCCCCCCTGTCCACAACCTCCTTCCCCCTGTCCACAACCTCCTTCCCCCTGTCCACAACCTCCTCCCCCCTGTCCACAACCTCCTTCCCCCTGTCCACAACCTCCTCCCCCCTGTCCACAACCTCCTTCCCCCTGTCCACAACCTCCTCCCCCCTGTCCACAACCTCCTTCCCCCTGTCCACAACCTCCTCCCCCTGTCCACAACCTCCTCCCCCCTGTCCACAACCTCCTCCCCCCTGTCCACAACCTCCTTCCCCCTGTCCACAACCTCCTCCCCCCTGTCCACAACCTCCTTCCCCCTGTCCACAACCTCCTCCCCCCTGTCCACAACCTCCTTCCCCCTGTCCACAACCTCCTCCCCCCTGTCCACAACCTCCTTCCCCCTGTCCACAACCTCCTTCCCCCTGTCCATAACCTCCTTCCCCCTCTCCACAACCTCCTCCCCCCTGTCCACAACCTCCTTCCCCCTGTCCACAACCTCCTTCCCCCTGTCCACAACCTCCTTCCCCCTGTCCATAACCTCCTTCCCCCTCTCCACAACCTCCTCCCCCCTGTCCACAACCTCCTTCCCCCTGTCCACAACCTCCTTCCCCCTGTCCACAACCTCCTTCCCCCTGTCCACAACCTCCTTCCCCCTGTCCACAACCTCCTTCCCCCTGTCCACAACCTCCTTCCCCCTGTGCACAACCTCCTTCCCACGTGCACCAGGTGGAGCCGTGGAGTACCCACCGGCCTTCTCAGGTGTGTCTCTGCCCCCCCAGCCGGCCGCCAAGGAGGTGGTGTTGGAGCGCATGGCCTCGCACACCGCCCACTGCACATCCTGCTCCGCCACCTTCGCCAACGTGCAGCGCCTCCAGCTGCTGCTGCCCGCCGTCTCGTTGCTCTCCGCTGCTGCTGCTGCCGCCTCCACCTCCCTGCGTGCTCGTGTGCCGCTTGCCCTGCTGGCTGTGGCCGCCGCTGCTGCTGCCTGGAAGGTGCAGGAGTTTGCCAAGGAGTTTGTGTACACAGGATGGGACCATGCAAGAAAGGACTGAAAACTGGGGAACAGAGACTGCGGCTACATGGGTTTTTCTTGCACTATGCAATCAAGGGTTGGCATGGCATCGCAATGCCCTTCACAACACCTTATTTGTTTGAGTGATTGCTTGGCTTGTCGCTCGATACCATGGTTTGTTTTCTTAGGAGGTAGAATGCATACGTAAATGATAAATCTTGAAAATGAAACACTTTCTTAAAAAAGAAAAATTTTGAAAGCGGAGACGTTGACAATGCAGCAAAGGTAGCGTCGCCGTACCCACATTCATCGTTTCTGATTTGAGTTCTATTTTGTCAGAAACAGAATGAAAAAGCAATCATGCATACGCTGCAAAGGAATCAAATGCAATGCATTATCTAAAGGCGCATCTTGCTACAAAATGATTCCCGCATGGCACATGGTTCCATCAACATGAACGGATTAACTGTATGGCAGTCCTGCACTAGCAAGTGATCTCCACACCCATGGTAGCTTGCCGGGCAGTGAAGGCTCTCTTTGAAAAAAAGCAGCGCGTGGGGGGTACTTCTGAGATTTTCAAAAGTACCATCAACACGGCAGCCTGCACTAGCAAGTGATCTCCACATCCATGGAAGCTTGCAGGGCAGCGAGGGCTCTCTTCGAAAAGAAGTAGCGCGTGGGGGGTCGATTCCTGAGGCGCCTCAGAAGATGTGGCAGTGAGAAGGCCAGCAACAGCGGTGGAAGAAAGAGCAAGAGCAGCAGCAGGTTTTTAGGCGCCTGGAGATCAGACAGAATCACCCCCACGATGGTAGTGCCTGGCGGCTCAAAGGGGAAGTTGGTGCCTGCAGGATGGATGAGGAGAGGGCGGGAGGCTGGGAGGAGCGGATGCAGGTAAAGCAGGAGGAGCATTATGACGTGGGAGTGCAGTGGGATGTGATTAAGGTTCACTAAGGTTGTGATGGAGATGGGGCAGTGGGACTGGAGTTGAGTTGCATGTGATAGAAGTCGGGATGCGTTAAGGCCAGTGAGGCCTTGACGCTTGTGGGTGGGTGCATTGGCCCACAGCACAAACAAGCACAAACCCAATGGCAACTGCTATGCTGATGTGGAACAAGCACCCCGTGTATGGTGCCACTTGCCTTTTGAGCCGCCTAAAAAAAAAAAAGTGCGGGTAATGAGACGACTTTTGAGGCGCCTAAAAAAAAAGAGAAAAAAAAGTGCGGGTAATGAAACGACTTTTGAGGCGCCTCAAAAATGGCAAGTGCTGTGCTGATGTGGAAGAAGCGCCCCGTGTACGGTGCCACTTGCCGCTTGGCGGATTCTTGATTCTGTCTGGCTGGTAGTCAGGATGGCCAGTAGGGCTTTGAATTATTGTTCCTGTCAGCACGATACAACACGGTACAACACGGTACAGCACGGTACAGCACGGTACAGCAAAGTACATGCAGTACAAAGCAAGATTGTAGCGTGACAAGCCCCGTGTAATGAGTCGATTTTTTAGCCAATATCTGGAGTACCTATATAGGTCAGGGTGGGCTGAACTCAAGGTGTTTGGGATGGGCTTGGGGAGTAACGAATGCGGAGGAAGAGCAAGGACACAGAGGCTTACAGAGGTGCAAGCGCACAGAGGCTTACAGAGGTGCAAGCGCACAGAGGCTTACAGAGGTGCAAGCGCACAGAGGCTTACAGAGGTGCAAGCGCACAGAGGCTTACAGAGGTGCAAGCACACAGAGGCTTACAGAGGTGCAAGCACACAGAGGCTTACAGAGGTGCAAGCACACAGAGGCTTACAGAGGTGCAAGCACACAGAGGCTTACAGAGGTGCAAGCACACAGAGGCTTACAGAGGTGCAAGCACACAGAGGCTTACAGAGGTGCAAGCACACAGAGGCTTACAGAGGTGCAAGCACACAGAGGCTTACAGAGGTGCAAGCACACAGAGGCTTACAGAGGTGCAAGCACACAGAGGCTTACAGAGGTGCAAGCACACAGAGGCTTACAGAGGTGCAAGCACACAGAGGCTTACAGAGGTGCAAGCACACAGAGGCTTACAGAGGTGCAAGCACACAGAGGCTTACAGAGGTGCAAGCACACAGAGGCTTACAGAGGTGCAAGCACACAGAGGCTTACAGAGGTGCAAGCACACAGAGGCTTACAGAGGTGCAAGCATACAGAGGCTTACAGCTCGAATCGCCTCATCTCGCAAGCCTTTCCTCTCTGAGAGCTCTCCAAATCGCCTCGTATTATGTCAACTCGAAGCGATTGGCGGGTCTGCGTCGCCTTCCGAGCATCACCAGTCTTTCGATCTCAGATAGAATCGATATCCCTCCCCGCGATCAGCCCGCTGCTGCTCTCACCCTCTCACAACTGCCGCTGCTGACCTTGGAATCTTGCCTAACGATTTCGTCAGAAATACCGTGTAGCCGTCTTGAGCGGCTGCTGATTACCAACTCCGACCAGCTCGAGCAGCTTCCCGAAAACATCGCGGAGCTTCTCCCGTGCCTTCGCGAGCTGAGTATTAGCAGCTGCAAAAACTTTTCACATCTGCCCGACAAGTTCACCTATCTTAGCGCTTTGGAGAGCCTGACGATTTCTTCCTGTTCCTAGTTCTCGAGCCTACCTGCGAATTTTGGACGGCTGGCAGCACTCAAGACTTTGGTGCTGGAGTTTCTGCCACTCGAGAATCTTTCTGACTCATCGCAGCAGCTGGTTCTTTCGAGTTCCTTGACAAGCTTGACGATTTTAATTTGCCGCAGTCTCTCCACCCTGCCCGAGAATTTCGGTCAGCTTCCTGCCCTCAGAACATTGGTTCTACAAAATCTCGCACTCACGAGCTTATCAGATTCTTTCAGCCTACTCACATCCCTAGAGACCCTGTTCATACTCGACTACGAGGGGTTTCAGCAGCTGCCAGCAGGCTTCGGCAGCCTCACATCCCTCACCACTCTCTGCCTCGTGAGGTTGCAGCAGCTAATCCTTCCTAAAGACATTTGTGTTAAAGAAATTAGAACGTAAGGGCCTAGGCTTAGGAGCCTAGGCCCAACTTAGGTATCGAGTGAGTTGGGCCCAAGGGGGGGAGAGTCGAGAAAGTTGTGAAGGTGAAAAGTGGGTTTCACTATAGGTTCAAGGAACATATAGCATAGGAAACAAAAGGGTGCACCACCTAACAAAATTTGCAATAACTACACTAACTACAGCTACAGGCAGTTACAAATATAAATAATATAAAGTCTGACAATTTGCGCGCTGCTGCAACTGCATACTCTTCTGCTGGACGGCAACTCTCAGAAACAGCCACTCCCACCCTCGTTCACCCAGCTGAAATCGCTAACCAGGCTTGAGCTGAATCAGTCCGAGATTGAGATCCTTCCGGAGAGCATGGGGAATCTCAGCAGCTTAAAGCAGCTCCACATTGCCTCATGCAATCGATTACGCGACCTGCCCGCATCACTTTCAGCCCTGAAATGTCTCAAAACCCTGACCGTTCGTTCGTGTCGATGGCTCTCCTGGCCTCCGATGCTTCTGGACCGACTCACGAGGCTCAAACACCTGGAGATTGTCGAATGCCTGTTGCAGCCTGAATCCGTCCAATTTCCGCCGTCGTTCTTGAGCAGCTAAGTCTAGCGAGCAGGGACGACACTGCCCCTCTGCTGACAATCCCGATGCTGCCAAATCTGAGAAACCTGAAGCTGTCTCGGGTTCATATCGACCAACCACTGGATTTCAGCAAGAGCCTGCCGCTTCTGAGGGATTTGGAGCTGGTGTTAGAAAACTCTGCAACCGAGCCTCCATTCCCGCTGGCGTGCCTTCCCCACCTGCGCACCTTTGCGATCTATCATGCTGCCAAGATTTCTAGTCTTCCAGAGAGTATCGGCTCGAGCTTACACCAGCTGAGGGTGCTGCTGATACACGATGCTCAGGAGTTGTCTGAGTTGCCAGAGAGCATCACGCAGCTTCAGCAGCTGACGTTGTTGGAGGTTCATGAGTGCATGCTCACTCACATTCCGGAGGGCATTGGCGCCTTGACCAGGCTGCGCAAGCTGAGTCTAAGAGACTGCAAGGGGTTGAAACGGCTCCCTGCTTCTCTCACCTGCCTTGTGTGCCCGCGTCCACGTCCACAACCACGTCCACGTCCACCACCACGTCCACGTCCACGTCCACGTCCACGACCACGTCCACGTCCACGTCCACCACGTCCACGTCCACGTCCACGACCGCGTCCACGTCCACGTCCGCGTCCGCGTCCGTGACCCGCGACCGCGTCCGCGTCCACGACTGCGTCCGCGAGCGCGTCCGCGTCCGCGACCACGTCCGCGTCCGCCACCGCGTCCACGTCCACTACGTCCAGGTCCACGTCCACGTCCATCCACGTCCAGGTCCACGTCCACGTCCACGTCTGCGACCACGTCCACGTCCACGTCCACCACGTCCACGTCCACGTCCAAATCTTGCATCCTCTCTCATCACCTCGCTTCCTCCCCCACTTTGTGCGGCTGGCTGGACTGAGGCGGCTTATCTTGGATGGGTGTTGGCGGTTGAGGGAGCTACCTCGGGATATTGCTGAGTTGAAGATGCTGCGGTACCTGGGCGTTAAGGGGTGCAGGCAGTTGCTGGATCGTGATGGCTATGTTGAGCCTCGTAGCATCTATAAGAATAACGCAATGCTTCGAGTTGGCCTTTAATGTACTGTATCATGATGATTGGCCATCATTGAGGGGGTTTCTTATTACCGTAAAAGCACATGATAATAACGTATTAGTGGACTCGATGAGAAGATATGCTGGCAAGCTACTGCCAAGC